TCCGGGGACCCACGACAAGCAAATTTGGTCACGGTACTCGATTAAACCAATGAAGACTTTCTCAACTTCCATTTGAATATTCTCCCCCAATGATCAAGACTTGTAGCTTTGCTCTGGCTGTTTTCAAATGCTTCATCAAAATTCCCAGTTCTGCTACCTACATCAATAGAAACTAACCTAAAGTAATCGTAGTTACAAAAATTAGCCTAACGCGTAGGTAACACCGATTACTTAAGCCAAAACCAAGAGCAATGTGATCCAATTCCAAACATCTTTGTGATGAAGACTTTATCTTTGGTAACTTTGTACAGTGAAAATGTTTTTGGAACTTCCATAATTCAATTAAGTTGACAAGTTCTCACCCGCATTTACAAATGAATAAATATAAGGATTATCACTTGCATAAATCCTATCTTAAGGACAAGGCTTCATCTTCGACGATGTGAGTAAGCAGCAAAGGTGAATGCTCAGAACCAGCACCATTTTTGGTTGCATCCTCTCTTGCTTTGCCCCAAATCACAGTGTAGAATCCAAAGCACAATATCACCGATCCAATGACACTGCGCACAACACATATATCGCGTAACTATATAGATTATTACTGTCTCAAAAAGGATATTGCAGTTAATACAGCGATATACCATTGAACTGTGAAGAGTGAAAACAGAGTGTTTCTCACACGCGAAACTAGATATGGGAGCTCATCTAGTCGTGAGGACCGTGAGGTTTGACTTGTGACGGATATAATAGAAACCAGAAACTATAAAAATCTTCGGATGTGTTTTCATGAGATAGATACATGATACTAAGCATTTTAACAACCTAGAGTTGAGTTCTATATTTCTAAGTGTAGATAAAATCTTCTGAACCCGATGGAAATAAAGAAGATGAAAGATATGGTACCTCCCAAGGTGAAGTGCATCACCGAGGAATATAGCACCCATGGCGACTGCAATCGCAATAGACAATGGCCTGAACAAGGATATGTAGACCGGACCCTTAAGATGCAGACCCCATGTGTGGGTAAGTGCGCTGAATAATGAAACAAATACTCCCTAAAACAAAGTTAATTATGAGCTTAAAACATCAACAGTAATGGAAGCAGGTTATAAGATTTAACTCTCACCGCGTATATAATAGCAACGAGGGAAATATCGGGCTTGAGCACCCAAGAAGTCAAGTTGCTTTCCGCAAAGAAACATACTGGTACTGAGATTAGTGCTGCAAATAAGTTGTAGAAGAAGACTACAGTTATTTCTTCAGGGTAAACCTCCATGACCCGAGTCTGAAACCATGTATAGCTACCGCATTTAGCAAAGAGTTTTATGTGTCTACAACAACCCAAAGTCTTATTGATGAACTTTTCAAGTGTTTGTACCTGAACGATATACCAGACTGATATAAGAAAATACTGTGTAGCGAGCAAAAGGCCTCCGATTATCCAGCTTGGCTCGAGTGAAGTCAAATTCTGGTGAGGCGAAATGGTAGGTGGTGAATGTGTAAGAAACGCAGCAGCAAGAACTTCTGGGCCTTTATACAGCACAACAACCAGAGCACCAGATATAGATAGTATTGCGCCGATGATTTTAGCCTGAGTCGCAGAGCTCCTCAACACTACTTGTTCCATCCTTTACGAGTCAACCAAGGAAGCAGAACAAGTTAAGAGTTACATACCCCGGTAATAAGATTGATAGTACAAACCGACCTCATATCCACCCAACTTTTTCTCAGAACAGAGTGAGGGCACTACTAATACAAGAGTAGTTCCTAATTTTACATTGTAATTCATTAGTAAAAAGCATGAGAAGTTTTCTGTAGTTTGTACTATTGATTGGCAGTGACTGGTATAGTGCTAAACTACAAGCCACTGAACATAAGAAGGAAAACCCGTGATGTCCAAACAAAAGAAACTTAAGCATTCCAAAAATGCAAAAGGGTTGAGATTTTGTATCGATAATTAGCATAGAAACACCCTGTTTTCCACTGTCCAGACTATTTTCCCACAGAAACATAAGAGAACGAAGTGGAACCTGAAGATAACGGCAAGCGTGAAGGTAAAAGCTGGCGTGAGGTTGCTCATAGCAGAGGCAAGAGTAGGAGAACTATATTCTATACCTTTACAACCAGCAATCGTTGACATAAACCTATTCTCCTCAAGTTAAAAAAAGAAAATCTGGAAATGTCCATAAATGTAGAAGCAGTAGTATATTATTACCCGGTAAGCCCAAGTAAGAAAATCTTGAAGAAGAGAGGAGACTTGGCTGAAGGTAATCTGCTTGACCTGCATATGCAAAAATAACTTGATAAATTCTTGAAATTTTTTTATACTTGGCAAAGAGTAGTTAAGGAGATCAAATACCTTCCAAATATCAAAGAAAGTGGCAGAAGGAGAAGTGTTGCAACAACATAAGAGTAAAAGACAAAGACATAGAAGTTCAATCCTCTTAAAGTTGCAGCCTTGTAGAGTGTGTTCGACCCAACCGTGGTACACTCAACCACAAACATTGCAACAAACGGCACAACATCTCTCTTAAATCGCCTCCAAGCCACTGTCTCTTCTCCTGCTCCTCTCATCTTAGATTTGATATCTCAGCAATTCTCTGAAATGAAAGTGAGTTTAGAAGCTAACATGAACGTGGTGGTTGGTTAACTCTACCAAGATTGCTAAATGGTCATTATTTAATCTAGAAACCAAGAAATCTTC